TTTTAATACTAGATGTACAAGTAGACGCGATTTTAGAGAAGAGAAGGAGGACTGACCGTATTATATCCAGATGACGTTGCGTCTCCCCAAGTTTCACCTCATTAACACGGATCTGATGGATTCTTTCATCCAGACTGCGCAGCTCAACCTGGAAGGCCTCCTTAGCCACCGCCGTTTCTTCTTTCATCTGCAAGTAACGAAAAATTTAAGCTCGGAGCTGACCAATCATTACGCTTGCTTTAGTGATTTAAGCATCCTCAATGGTGATTGGTTAGAGGGACCTTTGACTAGCACTTCACCATGAACGCCCGGTAACAGTCTATTATAGGGCTGATAACAGAAACCCAAAACTCTAGAATTCTGTAATACGTGACCGGTGGTAATAGGGGTTATGCGGGGGCGCAGAAGAGAAGATAACATAAAACATATCAAGCAAAAACAGGAAGCAACGACAAAACGTGCGGTATTTAAAAATAAATCAAAATAAGAAATTAAATGAATTAAATTAGATAAACTAATAAAATAACATATTAAAAATAAACATAAATTACCGTTAGCACCGGGCGCCATTACAGAATTCTGGAGCTCTTGGTTTCCGTGGTGGGCCCTATAATGGACTGTTACCGAATGCTCTAAAGCAACGACCAATAACATCTGTGGGCACAAACGAAATGGCAACCAAGGGTTTAAGCCGCTATTATAAACCCAGTATTTGGCAAGTTTCTTAGCTTCTGAGATGTAATTAGTAAAATCGCTCTGGAATAACTGATTTGGGAGTGGGAGTTAATTGCGGATGACCTTGTTTATCCGAGCCTCCTCTTCCTTCTGGCGTTTTTGCCAACTCATCTGGTCGGCACGTAGACGTTGTTGTTGGTCCAGGAGAGAGTTTCGTTCCGCTGTAAGTCTCGTCTGGGTCTCGCGGTGTTCTGAGAAGAAATTTGACTACAGGATGGAAAAGGCGACAAGCAGACAGTCAGAATACGTAAGATTGATAAATGCAGAAAAATTCAATGAACAAAATTCGGCAAAGGTAGTTTAAGAGGTGCACCTCATATACCCCCTAGTCTCAGCATTTTGTCTCACTGAAACGGTGTTTATAGGGGTTTTGGGGGTGGGAAGACAGGAAAGGTGGTGAAGGAAATTTGTCGAAGTAAGGGGAAAGTGGAAAAATGTAGTTGATTTTGCTTCCCACAGTCGCTGGGAGTAAGTTGTTTCGCATTTAAATTGAAGGTGTGGGCGGCGCTTCGCGCCACGGACTATACCAATCTAACTCCAGACCGGTAAGTTGGACCTCAGGTAACTCGAAGTAGACGACCTCCTAACCACCATTTATATTTTTCAGGAATTTAAAGAGACCTGCATTTTGATAGTCGGGTTTTTCCGCAACACGTTAAACGATAATATAGATTAGGAAAATCCACAGATATAATTCAACAATATTTCTAAATACAATAAAATAAAAATGCATATAACAGTTATTAAGGTATATTCCACTGCCTGTCCCAATTCTCCACTCATAAAAACCTTACAACCACAAGTTCCATAAGAGAAAATACTGGGACTAGGGGTATATGAGATGCAGTACTTAAACTTCTGTTGTCCAAATTTCAAAATTGAAAAGTCTATTTGACAAACATATGTTTTCGGCAATTCACTGTCGGGCTGGTACAGTTGCATGCAAGATGGGGCAGTCAGCTATGTACAGTGCCTATATGGCTCTCGTGG